ATGCTGGGTCTCCTTTATGATCTCTAAAGGGTCTTCCTGGATTCATTGCTCTCATGACTTTATTCACGCTCTGTTTCCTGGGTTTGACTGACTATGGGAACAGAGGAATATGGTCCTACAGATGCTGCGTTTGGCCCTGTCTGCCAGCAGATCAAGAAGAACCTGCCCATCAGCATGTCTGAGCACCCAGGTATCAGCCTATTGCCTCCAAAATGGTACCTGTAGAAAGGAATACTGTGGTTTGAGATGCCAGCTTCAGACTGTTAGGGCTAGCTAGGCAAGCTCTAGTTTATTTGGCTTTTTGGTTGATTTTTGCAAGGTTAAAAAGACTGTATGAATTACTTTTAAGTGGACAGAAGCTGCAGGGTTTTTGCTTTTTACTGGTCAGTATGTTCCCCAGGCGCTTAGCGGCAGCTGCGTAGTCTTGAAGAAACAACCCATTCTGCGGAAGGCACCTTTTCTGCTGATTCAGTAGTCAAATATGGTGCAGGTGGTCTGAGGTGTGCTCTGGGTGTGACAGATGTGGTCTCTTAGTATGGTCAGAAATGTTGCTCGAGATGCCAAGTGACAAGAAAGCGCAGAAGTCTAGCTGGGAAGCAAGGTTTCTCTGCTTATCTGAAACGTGCTTTAAACAAGCAGGTGTAACGCTAAGGAAAGGGGAGGGGGGAGGAACCCCACTGAATTTCTCAAAATGCAGTGTTCTTGCTGATTGAAGACTTACTGATCTTCAGGCCTTTTTCTTTACAGACAACTTTCAAAAACTGTGGAATTTGGGGGTTTTTCCTCAAAACCTCGCTACTTTGTGCAATGGTGTTTTAGCTATGACTCATACTGTACTGAATATTTCCAAAATCAATATTTACCTGTAATGCCCTTAATCCAAACCTGATGGAATCAGTCTTTACCTGTAACGCTCTTAATCCAAACCTGATGGATTGAGGGGGGGGAAAAGAGAGAAGAAAAAAATCTTTCACATCTGTTTTTAATTTGTTCCCAGATAATTGGATTCCTAAGATCATAGACTACAGAGCAAAAAAGCTACCAAACAGCTGAGTCCACCTTTAACAAAAGCCAGAACTTAGACCCAAGTTAAACATTAAACTGACTGGTCTCAGGCACGAAGACCTGCTTGTGGTGATAATGCCCAAATCGTGGTGTTCACTTGATTTTGTTAACTAAAATAATGAAGCTGCCTCCAATGATTTTCATACTGTGTGAAATGAATGAAAAGTTTTAAAAGCCCCTACTGGTATATGTAATAAGGCAGTATCTGGTTGTAGTGGGTGAAATATTTCATATCGCAGGATTTTGTGCTTTTTAATTAGGTGACTGTTCAACTTATTTTCATGTGAATATTCAAACACGTGACTTTGTAACCTGCTTGCTGAAAATACCTGAGGCACACTCAAAATTCCCGTGCAGAGATAGGCATATATGAATGGAAAGTTTCTCAGCAGTGTTTTCCTAGTTCTTTTATTATTGTTTTCCCAATTATTTGCCTGTTTTTGAACATTTGAAAACACTATGCGCTTTGAAACGTTTTTCATGTGTCTAGAAATAGCAACCATTGTACCCTTATATTTTTTCACTTGTTTGTATGGAAAAGGAAAAGAAACGTTAGGAATCGTATTTGTGTAATACATTACAAAGACTTGCAACAAACAGGTTTTGAAAACATCCTGGAAAGTTTCCATAATTAGCTTAATATATGCCATAAAAATGAGCAGTGACCATAAAGAGCAACTACGATACGCTTGGGTAATACCGCAGCCATAAGAATGCTTCATAGCTTATAAATATATGGCCCAGTCAGTTAAAAAAAAAAAATTTGCACGTTATGCATATTGCAAAATAATGTGGCGTAATAAAGTTTTTAAAAGAGAAGCACAGATTTATTATAAGGATATCTGTAATTTCCTGCTTTCCTAATCAACTATTTGAATGAAATAATATTCCATGTCCTTAAATACCCCAGAAACAGATATTTTCTCCATACTGGTATGCATTATTGATACATTTAATGGAATATGTTATCATGGGCATAAAAGCTCTGCTTGCGATTTGGATGCCAAACACAGATGTTGACTTCAGCACACAAAGCAGGAGTTACAAGAATAATTTGCCAACAGAGGGAGTTTCTTTATGTGTTATTGGAGACAGCGAATCAGACAGCAGGTGTTTGGGGGTATTTCGAGTTGTCTCCTTTACCGGGGGGATTTGTTATGGGAGTTAGGGATTTCCTTGATGCAGTTCTGTTTATTTACAGGGTATGAATATAAGGTCTAGTGTTCCTGGATGCAGCAGGAATTAGTGCAGTAGGAAACAGCTACAAAATAGTAGTTTTGCAATGTCAGCCATGCATTCTCACACTTATTTGACTTAAAAATCAATCCTAACTAGCCCTCAAGGTCTTGCTGATGCTGTAATTTCAGGCTCTGCCAGGAGGGGTCTGCTCTGCCTATCCTCTGTTCTGTGTTGTCTTAACTCTAGGGCTGATCCAAGCATTTGTTAGATTGCATTATGATCTGCGTCATGGAAATGAGCCAGGCTGGAACTGATGCATCAAAGTATAATCTTATATTTGCTGAAAGTTCTTCTGTGATAAACTGGGACGCTCATCACAGCCCTCCCATTAAAAGAAACTTGGTTATTGTGTTTGGTAGGTTGCTTGTCAGCTAAATCGCAGTAATGGTGTAGGGGTGCGTGTGGACCCTCGCGCTTGTGAAGTAAGTAGTTTTCAACCTGTTTCCTGATATGTCTTTACTTGTAAATAAGCAAGCTAGAACCGTGTGGCAGAAAAACAGGTGAAGTCAATCCTAGTTCCTTGAAGTCGTTGGATCTTTCAAAATATCTTCCTGTTATGGAAAATGTTTTCTTGTAAAAGGAGCTAAGGAACACAATGTCTGGTCCGTGCAAAGCGTGGGGTTATTTTTCCCTTTTCTTTTTTCGGTCGGCTAGGGAAATCACTCATGTGTACTCAGCGTTTATTTCATTGAGATGTTTTTCATTGAGATGTTTTTCAGCTCATGTTTTTTTCGTGGAGGTGTTCCAGCGTGTTATTCTGTTCAATTCCATGACGCTGCTGGCATAGGAAATGCACATCCCGCTGCTCTGAAGATGGAAGTAGAGGATAAATGGTGGAAAACAGGGACATATGTTTCAGATTTTGAGTGATTTGTTCATTGCTGCTACCAGTAGTGTTTTACAGGTTTAAAAAAGATACAAGTGAAGACTTTATAACCAAAATAACTCCAGTCAAAATATCTGTTCTTCATTTTATCATATTAACATTGAATCGGCAAGTGCAAGAGGAGCGTGAAATTACAATCCTTGTATTATTTCCAGGTTCCTCCGTCCCATGTGGCAAATACTTGACTCTTAGACTTGGGAGTTGGCTTTTCACTCCCGTGAAAGAGAAGGACGTACGCCTTGCATTTTCAATGCGATGCTGAAGATGCTTCTGAAATTAGTAGCCATGGCTATGCTTGGTGATATTAGTCAGTAATTTAAAGGATCTGCGTTGATATACGATGATACGGGGGTTGCGTAGCTCAGGAGCAGGGTGGTGGAGGGGGAATGGCTTTAAACCCATGTTTTGTTTCAACAATGTTTTGCTAGCAGACAGAATCCGATTTTAGTGGCCATCATTTACATCTGCTTCCTTAAGGCTGGGGATAGGAATCTTCAAAGCCCAGCGATCTCAGCCCTGAGGGCTAGGACCCCTCTCCTTGTCCTCTTTTCTTTCTATCCGTAGGTGTGAAGGAAAACAGCAGTTCTGGGCAATGCACAGGGAGAGCTTTCCCTGGGTTTCTGGGGACCGAATACTGTTGTGCAGACATTTCCCTCCCGGTCAGTGATTCACCCACTTGTGCGAGGCATTTGTCACCAGGATAGTGGTTTAATTTAAAAAAACCAAAAAACCCCACCCCAGTACATGGTGGTTTATAGGGACTGTGGAGGATCGTCATGGGTGGTGCTCTGGAAAGCACATTGGATCTACTCCTGCTTGCTAATAGACTGAATTGGGATGAATGTATTTCTAATATGCTAGACACTCTTGAGAGTAGGGGTGAACCTTAATATTTGTCTGGGTATTTAAAAGGTGAAAATCCTGATATTTAGTTGTTTTTACTTTATTTCTTTGGACTATAAATAGATGATCTAAAAAAGGCTTCCCTTAAATTTTGTCCTGTCTGAAGAACAAGAAGCATTATTTAATTCATAAGCAGAAATTCCTAATCAAGTATTTCTCCTTCTTTTTGATAACCTAGCATGAAAAGATTTTATAAGTTTTCTGGTGATCTTGGATAAGTTGTGCTAGCATGTGGTGAGCAGTGCTTAGTGCAAATAAAAGAGAGATTTTGACTGCCTTGTTTGCTTAGTTTTCAGATAATACGTTTTAAAATAAATCGCAACAGAAGTTTGCATGAGAGATTAAAATCGATTTAATAGGCCTATTTAATCTGTGGGATGGAATTTACTAGAATTGGTGGATTTTTAAGAGACCTTTAAAGGCTTGTTGGGTAATATAACAAAGGAGTTTCCTCAGAATGAAATTGCGGTATGGCTAGTATCTACCAGAAGTGGTTCTTGGAAAAGAATCTTTCAGATTTCTCAATAACAGATATAGAGAAGGAACGTCAGAGGGAAAATGCAAAAAAATACTTGGGTGGAAATTGAAATCGCTTCTACAGGCTTGTTACTGCCGTAGAACATTTAGTTGACTGATGATCCATTCAAGCTGTAACATGTTCAGGAGTTTACTGTCATCTTCTGCGAGCTTTGATGTTATATTTCTGAATAGGAAAAGCCATACTATAGTAAGCTGAATACTTGATCTGCACAATGCCTTGAATTTTAATGTTGTTGACTTGTTTCGAAGAGCAAAAAAGCAGTCATCTTAAATCGGCCTCTCGGATACTGAGAGAAACAAAGAACTCTTGTTTTTAAGGTTGATGTTACAACTAACAATTTCTTTTTGTTTATCTTTCTCCTAACAGATTTATACGGATTGGGCTAATCACTATCTAGCAAAATCTGGTCACAAGAGATTGATAAAGGATCTACAGCAAGATGTGACTGATGGAGTCTTATTAGCTGAAATAATCCAGGTTGTAGGTGAGCGACTTTCTCTTTTTCTACCAGGTTTCCACCAACTCACTCAGAAATTCACTGTCTTTATCTTCTGCATAAACACAGAGGGGGAAAGCCATCAAACTGCATGGAATTATGTAGATAATTGTCCTTCAGAGACTTTGCTAATTAATTCGATAAAGCCTTGTCTTAAAGCAGAGTGGAAAAATATTTGATGTTGCTGATAAGATCTCCTGACACAGCAATATCACTCCACACAGCTGAATGGTAAAAAAGTCAACTGATGCGGGATTTTTTTCTGCTAGGATGCTGTTAGCTATCTCTGTTTCTGATACCTTTTGGGGATTGGTCTGAACATAATTCACAGTGATACTGGCCTGCTGCCTTGAACCTCCTGCTTTCAGCTGGATATGAAAAATCCATATATGCAGCTAGGAAAGGAGAAGGGGTATAATTTTTATGTGGCAGAAAAAGAAATCTTTCATAATGAGTTTTCAAATCAGGAAAATCATTTCTCATTAGGGCAAATCTCAAATATAGGCTCGGTCCTACAAAGCCTTTAATTCCCTCAGTTTGCACTAATATTCATAGATAATGAACGTTCCAAACAATTTTCTCCATTGGCCCCATGTAAAGCTACATATTGTCCCTCTTCCCTTGGGCCTGGATCCTTCATTAGTTCCTTCAGAGGCGCATCCGTCTGGTACTTGGGATGCCACAAAACACATGCATGGGCCGATGGAGACTGATGGAATCGGAAAGCCTGCTAATGGGAATTAGGACAACTATTGTTAGAAGCAAACTGACAGATTTGAGATGCAAATCAAGATGACAGCAGTGAAGTAACAAGACATCAGTGCATGCATATTTATATGTGTTTAGAAGCTGTAAACGAACTAGTTCCTTGATTTAAGGTACAAATCTGCAAGCCCTGTTCTCGAATGAAATTGTGAGACTCCACTAGAGCTGCACTGGAATACATCAAAAAAGATTTTGCCTCTGTGTTGTAGAGCAACACTACCTCAGTAGCATTTTCCAGACCCACCATGCAGCTACAGATGTATAAAAACAGGCCATGAATTGATTGTGTATCAACAGGTATTCGCTATGAACAACACTTCATCCTATATCTATTTCCTTATGTGTGTTTAACAGGGAAAAAAATTTGGAAACCCGGGAACAGTTAGGTGTTGATTCCTTTCATACATACCTAGCTACCCTGCATTAACGCTGCTGTAGAAAACTTCTGCGTGAGAACACGTGTGTAAGAGTACCTGGTTGTACCAAATATTTAAATGTAGTCGTTTGAGTATTGACTTCTGAAAACTCTTATGAAATTAAATTACTCCCTCTAAAATACGCAGAAATAATATTGCTTACTGTATTTCGCTTTGATTCACCTTTGTATTTTTTTTTTTAGCCATTCTTAGAGCTGCCTTTTGGCTAATATTTAAGATTAGGTCTGCAAGCTTTCAAAAGTTAAAGTACAAGGTGAAGGATTTAATTTTCAGAGAATGTGAAAGAAAGTTCATATTTAAACATTCTCAGTTTAATCCTCCAAATTAGCAGTGAGGAAAAAGTCATTTGTATCTGCTGTGTATGGCCTTAGGCACGCTGCATCTCATTGTCACAAAGATGGTGATAACTTTCACACCAAGAAGCAGCTTTAACTGTAGCCTGCAAAATACAAGCTTTTTTCCTAACAAACAAGACTGCATACTAAGAAAGCTTCTATATGCAGTGTGGGAGAGGTTTTTCTTTTTTATGTTACGGGGTGCTATGTGTACAAGCAGCAATGAAGATCCTTCCTCCTTTTTGTCCTGTGCTTAGAGTATCTGGAGATTGTTCAAAGTCATCAAAATTGGTTCAGGTTTAATTATTAAAGATGCAATTTTTCTCATGTTCACCATCTGAGATTTACATCACAGATGTTGAATCTTGAAATACCACTTAATATCCAAAACTGGAAAAAGAGTAAATGTACTTTTTTTTTTTTAATGAAGACTCCATAAGAGTTAATGATTATACAGAGACAGTGATCGCAATCCTTTCTGCTTACCTTTTTTAAGTGAAATAGCTGTATATTTAGGAAAAGAAAATTTTAAAGCTAGTAAGAACTAGGTAGTTCTTTTACCTTAGCATCCAAACAAGGGGCAAATCTAAAAAGACATGAAACCAAACATCGCCGCATTTGACTTTAGAGGATATAATCTTCAGACTTCAAAACTGCTAATGATAATACAGAAGCGTTATATGATGACAGTTTTTTCTATTTGCAAGTCAATTAAAATGCATTCATAGCATTCTGGTTTATTTCAGCTCAAAATTTATGAGTCTGTAAAAGAATACATAAGTAATATATGCCTCAGTAATGGCATATAAACGTAGTAGCTATATTTAAATTCATGAATGCAGATGTACTGGGTCTGTGCATGCTCTGAAATTGGTAATATATCAAATTGTCAGTTGATTCCCTGCGAGAACCTTCGATTTTCAAGATGAATAGAATCGATGCTAAAATTAAACTTTAACCCAGTCCGATAGGACTTTTCCTACTGATGCCTACGATATTTTGTGGAATATTTTCATTGATCGGATACAACCAAAGTCAGATCAGATACAAAAGCTGTGGCTTTTTAAATAGGGATGCAGACATTGCGTTAGTGTTAAACACTTACTCAGCTAAATAAAAGTAGTTTCAGTAAGAAGTAAAATGTGCACATCAGTGTTGTGCCGGGCAGTCAGTACACCATTATAGGAGGTGATGGGCACATTGTTTAGTGTAGATGCTTTGCATATGCCAAGATAGCCTAACTTACAGGTATATCTAAATATTCTGGGTAACTTGTGTTCTGACTGAAATTAGTCGTACTGACTTAAACAGAATAGATCTTTGCTCTAATTTTAAAAGTCATTTGCGATTACTCCATTTAACTGCTCCAGTTCAAATTCATACTGTGACTTTTCTCAGTATAGCTTTTGTCTGCTGTCATGAAAATTGTACTATTACATTTGCAGGGGAAGGTTACAGAATTATATTTCAAACCAGAATCTTGGGATCAAGCCTAGCAGTACTCTCTAGTGATAACTCCTACTTTGGGTGGGACGTTACACAAAGGTTCATTTTACTAATATTTTGGTGGCTGTTCAGTTAAAAGCTGCAGGTGACAATTCCTACGCAAATGTAGGAATTCAGTTGAGCAATATTCATTCATACGTTGGCGAAAAAGTAATCTAATGTCCAAGGGTATGCCTGAAGTATTGAATAATGCAGAATAGCTGCTAAGGTTGTAACAGAAGGCTTAATTCATTATTATGAAGTGCATGGGCTTATTTTTTGTATGGATGGTTTAACCATCCATACATAGCCAATGTTCTTCTGTATAATGCTTATTGAAACACTTTTGATTTGCTCTGATTATAATTTTTCACGCACTCGATGGAATGTCATTTGCTGAAGATCTTTTTCACCAGGAACGCGTACCTGTACCTATATAAATGGGACACTGACAGCTGACTGGCCGATAGATTTAAAGGATCCTTTGCAACTTTTGATGCTAGAGCTTCCTTTTCACTTATGTTTTCATAGAATTTTGACTTGCAGTTTCATGATACGCTTCCTGTCAAAATACATAAACCCAAATATTCTTTTAGGTACCATTTTCCAAGCTTTGATTCGGATCCAGCTAATGAAAGCACACTGTCACTCATTGCTGCTTTCATTAGAGAGCACAGCTGGTTTCTTCTGTCTGCCTTAGTACACCCCTCAATCTGTGTGTAAATGGGAAAAGTTTGCAAACATTTAAAAGCATTTGAACCAAATTCACTGTATTCACAGTGAAGAAAAAAAACCACAGTGACGGGGGGAAGCTCTTTGGACTTGCAGTCAGTTTGGGAAAAATCCTCTGCATTTCACATTTGTGGTTGTGAATTTAGGTCTTGCTCAAGGCTGAGATAGAATTGAAAGCCTTTATGATTGCCTGTGACTTCCAGTTGATGCTAACGGATGTAGTATTCCTACGTGGCAAATAAACAGGCAGCTCACAGTACTGTTTCTATCTCAGCCAGAAAGCTGTGCTTCTGCAGCTGTGAAATTGGACACATTTCCAAGATCCCCTAGCATTCAGTGACTTGTGCTATGAACTGTACCGTCATGCTGTCCATGGGCACACCACGTTATCTCATTTGCTGCTCTCTCTTTCTTTCCAGTCATCTCCACAAGACAGGCAACTTACCTAGTACCTGCTGCAAGCACTGTTCCTTGGAGCTAGGTGGAAGGGTCAAAGACAGGGTCCAGCTTACGGCCAACGAATGGGAGCATCAAAACAATTGCCTGGTGAATTAGATTGCTGCAAAGTGCCAAATATGCCTGTGGGCCGCTTTGATGCATCTCCCCAGCCTAGGTTGAATCTCTGAGGTCTTGCCCTGCTGGGTTCAATAGAGAGGTATGAGTTAAAGTTCAGCCCAGCTGCCAGTTTGCCCTACCACCAGCTTTTCTGGTTGCTCTCTATTCCACCTGCTTTCCGTAGCACTTGCACCAGCAGGGAAGGGATGATAATTGCATTAATCTAGTGAAAGGAGTAACCAAGAGCCGTAGGTGAGTTGGGAGTGGATTAGAAGGTGAAAAGGTAGAACATAAACCTGCCCAGGGAAAGGTGATTGCCCAGGGGTAAGCAGAAATAGCACTTGAGGGACCAGAAACTCCAGTTCTTGTTACTCTTCTGATTCCCACCAATTATTTCTGGTCATCTACATCCTAAATCACCTGTGATTTAGGTGATTTAGAGATAGCCAACAGCATAAAAGGAAGTGATGAGTAATTGGGAACTGATGAAGAATCATCAACTGGTGGACAAAAAAGCTGCAGGTTCACAGGTGGGAGGGAAAGCTGCCTTGGTTTAACGTAGCTTTTGAGAGGAAGTAAAAGCAACTGTTTTAAAAAAAAAAAAAAATAGAGCACAAGAAAATGCAGGAAACTGGTAGTAATGAAATAAAGAAGCTACAAATCAGTTGAAGTTGATCAGAAGAGTACAAGGATAGCTGATGACATCTTGCAAGCCGATAGAAAGGTACGAGGACAAAAGAAATGATGTCTAGGTGAGAATGGTAATATAACCACAGTGTAAAAAGGGAAGGGGATAAAGAGGTAACATCCCAAAGAGTTGGTGTGTTGGATGTAAATTTCTCCTGACAGAAAAATTTAAGGTGGCTAACATCTTCGTTTGCCATTAGTTTTCCCATGTTACAGAACGGTGTCTTTGTTAGTTTATAGGGTTTATGGGGTTAACCTTTAACGTACAGCTCTAGAACCAAGCTTGTGGTCCAAGCCTGTAGGAATACCCGCAAAGTGTAGAAATGTTGAGTAAATATTTTGGTTCTACGTTTGCATAGTAAAAAAAACCTCAGAAAAAGTCAAATGCTATATTGCAGCAGAATCTTGGAAACAAGTTACTAACAGTTTAAGCAGTTTCAAGTAGATGAGTCCGGGAAGTTTGCGTGCAAGAGCTTAAAAAGAGCCAGGTAATAAGCTTTATGGTTTGCTAATGTTGGTTTTAAATACATCGTGTAACATTTTGGAAGTTCTAGAGGACTAGGGAAAAACCTACTATTTTTTAAGGAAGATAAACAAAATGACCTGGGTTATTAGAGGTATCTCTCTACACACATGTCCCAGACAAGAGAAAGCCCATTCAGAAGTTCATTAGTCTCCTTTCAAGTAATAATTATGAATGGTGCAAATTTATAGGAATATAGCTATCAGTTTTTTAAAGTGTTATAAATTTTGTTGATAAAGATATTGCATGATACTAAACTGAGAGATTGTAAATATTAAAAGATGGATGCACAAGATTGTAAATGGGATTTAAAGAAATAATTTTTGTTTCTGTATGACCAAATCTGAGATTGAATTCCTGAAAGAAGTGTATGCTCTTTGTGTGTAGAGGCTGATAGACCACTCCGGGGAACACTACAGTGGATTTAGCTGCAATCTTTTTCAGATTAGCATCAATTCTTAAATGCATGACTGTGGCATAAAAGTGTACTGTGACACTTTGATGTGTAAAAAGGGGAATACCAGGCAAGAGTGAAGTTATGTTGCTTCTTTGTTTGTCATTGTTATGACTGCTCTTGGAATATTGTGCCCAATTTGATACTCCTAACTGAAGAAAGACATGAAATGAGATGGAGTCTGACTGATGTCCTGAGAATATGGGACTGGTGGAAAATACAGCTTTTAATATAAGAATCGATGGGAGGCAAATCTGTTCGCTTTGTCACATGGGATGTGAACGCCTACCTTCATTACAGTGAAAAAACTGTGGGAAACCAAACTTTGATTATAACTGATTCTTCAGTCTAGCACACGAGTCATTTCAGGGTCCAAGACTGAAATGGGAAACTGAGCAAACTAAGACTCTAAGGCAAACGTTTAACCACCTCAGCAACTTAATTCTTTCACTTGGGACTTCAAAGATTGAAACTATATCTTTTTCTGCAAGTTGCGTTGCATGTAAGCCATGGACAAGAAGCTTGAAAAGTAGTCTTGTGGTTTATGCTTTAAGGAAAAAAAAAATATTAGAGTTATTGATCATAAATTTCCCATCTAGATTTAAAATATATATTCACTCTACAAGCAAATCAATTGACATGCAGCCATCTATCCATACGTAGTGTTCACTTTTCCACCCAGCAGTGATTCAGTTTCCAGAGTTTAAATCTTTTTTGTAGTTTAACGGCGTTACCCGTCACTGCACAAGATGTTGTCAGACCAGTTGTTTTCTGCCCCCAGCTGTCTCTGGAGGCATGACCCACTAGAAAACTCCAGCTGCTTTTTTTTGATGGGTCTCAGTGTTTCACACATTCACTTTGCTTGGACAACTACAATCTGAAACCCCTTTATTTAGCTAGCAGCAAGTGCTCTGGAAATAATTGGAATAAACATCCTTGGTGTATTTTTTTTTGCTTTATCTCCTCTTTTTTGCTTTTCAGCAAATGAAAAGATTGAAGACATCAATGGCTGCCCAAAAAATAGGTCTCAAATGGTAAGTAGTAACGTGGTCTGTTGTTTGTGTGTACGTGGTTGAGTATCGAGTGAGAGCGTATGACTTCAATGTCTGAGACTTTAATTACCAATTTTTAATTAGTTTTTCAGTAGTGAGAGCAAAGGTGTAATCTGAAGAATATTAATATTACAGTTCTTGCCCTGTCGTACTCCCCAGTAGTTGAATTAGGCCTTATCATTTATCACATACTTACAATCAATATTATTCTTACATTGGTATTTTATATTTCTGAAATATCACATAGTTAAACTGGAATGTATAAAAATAAAATTTTGTTCCTCTGTATAGACAGTAGTATTGCAAAAGCAGAATTAGATATTTACTTTAAAGTTGGATTAAAAGTTCCTATATCCTTTGAAAAGAAACAAAATAAATGAGTAAAACACACTAAATGAAAAATTTCAAATTGCAAACTTCAAGATGTTTTATGTATGCAACTTGGTTTTGACTGATAAGTTCTAATTTGTAAAAGAAAAATTTCAAATTGCAAACTTCAAGATGTTTTATGTATGCAACTTGGTTTTGACTGATAAGTTCTAATTTGTAAAAGAATTTGTTCTGTATCTTGTACATAATATTTAAAACTGAAGAACCAAGAATTAGTGTAGTAAAATTAAAAGCATATAGTACCTTAAGAGTACATCTGCTATGAGTATCGGGGAAGCTAAAGTTACAGGCAGAACTGTACTGAAAAGGCAAACAATAAGAAACTGATTTTTAAAATGCATCCTAGGAGCGTTTAAAATTTATGATCTTTTAAAGAAGGTTATTTCCTTCTGTATCTTGAGAAAAAAATCATTTTACAATAAATTCTAAAATCTCCCCTTTGCATTGCAAATGTTCACTTTGGGATACATGAATATCTGTTGTGTGTGTGAAGCTATTTTAATGTTTTTCATTTTTATGACTCTGTTCCCAACTGCCCCTACCTCCACTACTGCAACTTGAGCACAACCACTCACGTAGCTAAAGGAAAGATTAAAGATTTGATGAGAGCTTGCCATCTTAAGTCAGAAACCACACTGCGTTCTGCTATTCTGTTTTGGCTTTTTGTTGTTTCTTGGAAGATAGCAATCCTGCTTTAACCCACGGAGCAAGCACTCCATAAAAAGAAAACCATCTAAAAGATTTATCATTGCTACTTTTTACTGCTTTGAAGAGGTTGGTTGCTATTCTTACTGTAGCCACAGCAGCTGTCTAGAGTATAAATAATTGAGGAAATTTTGACAATTACTATAATTTAATGTTCCACAAGCGTATCGTAAGAACTGAATTTCATTCAGGACTGGAGTCTATAACAAATTCCAGGACGTTGTAGCTAAAAGTCACTTTAAGTCATTATTCTCAATGAAGGAATAGCGTTGTTCTGGTGGATAGTCGGATGCATGCTGTAGGTTGCTTATAGAAGTCTGGTTATAACCAGAGGCATGCAGAGGGCATGTGCTGGGTCAGGAATTGTGAAGAGTGCTGGAAAGGAGTGTTTGCTCTGCGCTGCTTCCTCTGAGGCTCTGATGTTATTCCGGTTGCTCATTCAAGAGGATGGAGTGAGTGAGAGACTGTCCCCCGCTCATGAGACGTGCATCAGTCATAGCTAGGCATCCCCAGTGGTTTTGCTTACATGAGAAAAACGAGGATTAATGCTTACGGCTTGCTTTTATTGAGTGTGCATGCTTACAGAGCTCTTTATAATCTTACAGTAAAGATACTAACGCAAGAACATAAGTAGCTTCATAGAGGTTGTGTTCACACAATTGCTTGCAGTGTTTAAGGAGACAACCCTTCTCCAGGTCTCCTGCATTCTAGGAAAAATGCATATGTTATAGTGGGGTTTTCTTGGTTTTGTTTTTGGTTTTTTTAAGATACGGCAGTCTTCATCCTTTGCATTTAATGCACTTCCCTCTTAATATAGCTTACAACCATTCTCCAGAGTGTGGGAACTGGTGTTTGTGTCTGGTACTTCTGGTTCAGAGAGGTGGCAGAGGCAAGGCTATCCAGTCAGTTCAAACACTCAACCAGGTGATGTCTAGTCTTATTTTTTCAGACAAATCTTTCAGTTACGGGTGTCCATATCTATATTGTAGCATCTGTAAGGTGGGCATCACAGATTAATAGATTTGGGGGAAAAAAAAAGGCACCGTAAATGAAGATTTAACTTTGCTCATTAAATAGAAATACAACAGAGTTTAGAGGGAAGCCTTCTACCATCGTCTTTCCCCCTGTGGCAGTTATCTCATTTGTAGACTCGCGATGCCATGAGCAGAGACACATGTGAGCTGAATTGTGAAGAGCCAGCTCACGTCCAGCCAGATGTATCAGCTTAGAAAGCTGGAGCAAATCTGTGTCTTCCAAGCCCATTAAAGGGGGTGCGAAAGCAAGTGTATTTGCTTCCACTAAAGCCCACCAAGCCTTAGAGCGCTCAACACAGCCAGATCAGGTCTTTTTGCATTGTTGTTCCCATTGCTACAGTGTTGGAGAGCATCATACAAATTTGCCCAAATTGAGCATTAGAGACAGCTTGGGTCTGTCAGGCTCAAAGCCGGTGCTAATAAGCCTTGTCAAATTAAGTTTAGTACTGCAGAACCATTTGGAACCATCAGGGCTTATCAACCTAGTCCCAATGCCAGAAATGACATGACAAGGACCCCCACTGGCTCCATGAAAAATCACTTAGGTGAGAACCTGTCCCCCCTCGTCATCTTGTCTGGGTTTCTCTGCTGTGGGGAGTATCCCTGTCTTCCTTAGCTCCAGATAAGAGTTGGCTGGCTTTTATATAATCTATTACAGACTATTCTGTATCTTGTCCTCTGCATAAGACCCATTTCAGGGTTTGTTTTTTTTCCCAAACCTCTATGGTTTTGTACTGTAGATATTCCTCTAAACAAAAGCCTGTAATCATGATGATTAGTTCCAGCTGGCATGCAGAAAATTCTGTGGTTAATAGAGGATGCAGTAGTATGGAGCGTAGGCTCTGGGACCAAGAAGATTTGGAGACCGTCACCACAACTGTATTTAGGTTTTCAGAATGAAGCACAAGAAAATATTGGCATGGTTCTTGAGAACAGGGCAAAGGAGAGTAAAACAAGACCAGTTTCCTCTCCTACACACTCCTGAAAAAAAGACTGAGGTCAATAAACCCGAGTAGGGCTATCTCTGCTAATATTGTTTGGCTATAAAAAACAGGATCCCTTCCTTCCGCCCTTCCTTCCTTCCTCCCTCCCTCCCTCCCATTTTGGGGATGATATTAGAGTTCAACATTTGGCATCCTGCAGAACCTGGGGTATATGGGAGGTGCTGTTTGGTCCATTCCCTTCTAGGTGGTGTAGATGATTCTTA